TAATATCTACTAGATCAAACCATTTATATATAGTGATCGGCATCCTCCGAAACCGGAAGTTTCGAATAAGCCAAGGCCCCAATAGGCTAGACATGATATCAGGAAAATTGTGTTTCTCGGTTGATACGATATAACTTGATTTCCCCCGTGATTTTGCCTCCCGATCGGGTCATCTACTGCGTCGGGAACGGAAAGGCGTGAANAACGGAGTTGAAGTTATCACACTATAATGCTTTCGAATGACCTACTTTATGCCTAATTTGATGTTGTTTAGCTCTCCATTATTCATCCTTACAATGCAGAATATTTTCTCGGTTCTTTGTCACACCTCAGTGTTTATGTTTTCTCTTGTTCCCACCTCAGAACCAGGAGAAAAGAGCAACCGTTGTTCTAGAGACGTAAGTTTCCTCATTAATTTTTTCATGCGCATTTCTTATCTATCCTCCCAATTCTACCTTCCGATTCTACAATAATTTTGATGGTTCACTGTCTTTTTTTTACAGGTTAGTACTTCCCTATTTCGTTTGCTGGATACAGTGCTCACTACATTGCACCGAAGTTTACTCGTACGCGCAAACTTTCTGCGTCATTTTGCCACCGCCACCACTCACGTGAAAAGGTACGTTGCACGCAGTGCTCTGTTGTCATGTCTTTATGACTGGCGTTTTCTTCGGTATATATGTATGTATATATGTGCACATGTTCGCGCACGTCTGTATCACTGCTACAACAACCCGCATTTATTCCTCTTTAGACTGATCGAATATCACATTTTTTGGCGCCATTCTTTATTTCTTGCGTAATTGTAGTTCATATGTACATTGTTGTCTGACCATCTACAAGTGGGACCAGGTTTTGTCTAGAAAAGCGTGCTTTCTTCCAGAGATATTATGATGCAAGATATTTCAACTGAATACACCCCGGAGATGTTCAGCATTTACTCACGAGTCTGATGGTAGCGTTGGGATCAGGTAATATCATTCCATTGATGGGTGGTTGGTCGTTCCTGTTGCAAGCCATATTGCGATTTTAATTTATCCACCTCACCTGTTAATTGTACTAACCGACAAACTGTGCAGGTGTTATATCCAGCATACCGTCTATGCGGAGTTGGCATCCAATCAATCAAATTATTTCATCTTAATGAATTTTACTCGCCCCATAAATCGGGCAAACATTCTTTTTTTTATGGAGTCCGTTCAGGATGATGCACGACTAGTTCAGTGATGTAAACTAATTTGGATTCAGCGTTCTGTTTGATTGTCTGTTTATGATAGCAGATTCCAACTGTCTCGTTTCTATGAGAGGCAGTAAATAGAACCTGCTCAAAAAAAATTTGACAGATGGATGTCCGGCGAGCATCGTTTGAGGGAGTACTATGTTTCTTTCTCTCTTTGCTGGGGGAAACTTGGCTTCGTGTGGTCAGCAAGGTTACCGTTGCTCTCCGGGTTTGTCGTTCACTGACCGTTATGTCCATGCAGTCTTTTTTCTTTTCATTTTACTTCTATTGAATATACAAAGGTACAATTTTCAGGAAGGGGGAAGCGACCAATCAAAAGGATGCCATTCAACACACAACGAGGGAAGTCAGGCGGTGGTGGTGGGATTCGAACACATCCCCAGGGTGATAATTCGGTGACGTTACCACCGAGCCACCACCACCGTAGATGAACTCTGTTCTGCGTTGTACCGGGGTTGTATTCACTTTAAGGTTTATTCGCTGTATCCTTTACTATTACCTAATTCATATTGTTAGGTTTCTCTGGTTATTGCACATATTGCGTATACCCAGCTGTCGTGTACCGCACCGTGCTTTATTCGCTGTAGCCGCTTCGGGAAGCAGGAAACCTCGTGTAGGTCAAAGGATGACATGGGGACGACATTTGCCGAGGCAGGAGGCGCATGAAAAAGGATCAAGAGCGGTCAAACTAAGACCTGACATTAGGGTGTGAAACCCAAACCGGGTCACAGATCCCGTTTGGCTTCCTGGATTGGGACCACGAGATCATGGTTACCGGCGGTTAGAGACACTGACTGATATGGTTGAGTGTCGTGAACAGTGCAGCTTCTCAATTTCTTCGCAGCCTTAGTCTACTGGGTTTCTCTATTTACTTTTTGACACCACTTTCAACCTTCTAATCTTCTACTCCTTCATGAAATAGGGCGGCCAAACGACTGCAAACAAGACCACCGCACGGAAGCGCATGGTTAATGGTTTTACAAACTGGACTGAACTGACTCTCCACGAACCTTGTTGAGGCTTCTGGAGGCCCACAACTTCTCTGTCTAATCTGGTAGCTCTGTTACGATGCATGTTGTCAGTGTGAATTTTGTCTCGGTTTAGATATTAATTTCACTATCACTACCTCATGTTTCTCTCAATAATGCTTTCTTTCTTCATTTTCTACCCTTTTGTACTAGTGCTTGTGAAGAAGATGATCAAATCGGTTGTTGCTTCGCTCAACTAATTGAAACGTTGGACGCTGTTGAAGCTCAATCACAAACGTCTTCCACGCCGATTAATCTGCGTCGGTTGAACACTCCGCTATCCAAACTGATTTACCTCCTCTCATCAGAACCAAGTCTTTCTTGTTCCTCGGAGACCGGTGTGATTTCAAACTACGCTTTGCGCCATTTGGGCTATTACCTGACCAGCTCGGATTCTCTGCCATCCTCTTCACCAGAACGTTGGATCCTGTGTCCCGGGCCCAGAGTGTTCTGTTTACTTGGTAATCACGTCATCAGTCAGGTGCACTGTTTACAGGGCACTGATGCAGCCGAGCGATTCATCAAATCAATTTGGTCCTGGTTTCTCAGTAGTCTTCAGTTCAACGTGTGCGACGTGTCCGACAGTCCGCTGGCCTTAGTGGATGTGAATTCAAACTTGCTTCAGTTGATTTGTCTTCTGGCTGGTCAAATTCCGGGACTAACGGCAAAAAAATACCTTCTCTATCAGTTGATTTCCTGTTTCAATCAAATTGCCTCTCGAATGGTAACCAGTACAAACTCCGCCCCTATGGGTCGGTATTATCATCTCTGTACTCGGCTGGTTGTTCTGCTTCGCTATATGTTGCATCATTTCTACGTACCTCCGACTCATTTGTCCGAACAACTCAAATCGGGTCTAACACTAGACCAGTCTGGAAATCAAGCCATCCACATCTGGACCTATGACATAATCCAAACAAGACAGTCCAAGATTCTTGACCAAATACGTCCTCATCTGTTGGGAAGTTCTGCTCTACCACTTTTCTATGATTTGCTCACACCTGCTTCAGGTCACGATAAAAATTCGACGGAAAGCGCTGCACGTGGAAAGTGGAATCTGCCTTCTCCGGATGGACTGGTAAGAGTAAT